ATCACTAAATCTTGGAATGTGGTATTTTCACACAATGGAGTACTACTCTGCCACAAACAAGGTTAAACTTGAGTCATTTGTAGGCAAATGGATGCACCTCGAGACCATGTTAAGCAAAATAAATCAGACACACAAGCTTAAATCGTGCATGGTTTCTCTTATATGAAAAGCCTGAAATATAAATAAAGAGCAAAATAAAAGATAGATAATAGGAATAAACAGAAAAAAAGAGATGGAGCAAGGGATAGAGGGGACAAAAGGGAGGGGGAGATAAAAAGAATTAAGATGTGTTATGTACACATAGCAACGCGAGAGGATGAATGTTAAACACTGTCTACTGCAGACGTGCACTGATACAAACAGAAAAGGAACAGGGATACCATGTTTAAATTGCTTTAAAAGAGGCTGTAATCTAACAGTGTTTTAAGGGTTGCTTTTTGGAGAGGGCAAGGGCACATACTTCATTTCTAGGCACAGGAACCAGAGAAAAAAGTGTTAGGTGTTCAAAGCGGGCAGAGAAGCTGACCTCTTATATTATGTATGTGTTGACTCCTTGGAATATAAATCTCTTAACTCAGAAGAAAGACCTTCCATGAATGCCAAGCATACCCTACAGTTCACACATTTTGGGATGATAAAGCCTTAATGATAAAAGCTTTGCTGTTTTTTCTATCACTCAAATAAAATAATGGGTTTTCATTACTACTTGGACAGTAAGATAAAATGATGCATATATTATGTCTGAAATGAAAAACCGTGAAACTTCCAGGAGTTGAGAAGTTGGGTGTTCTATCATTGCAGAAATCTGGAGAATGTGCCAAGTTTCTTTCGAAGACTTTTCCACAAATTTAACCTCTGAGTGACTCCTCTCTTCTAATGTAAACCAGATCTGTTTTGTGTCTTTTTCTTTTCTTAAATGTATGATTTTTGCTTTCCTTAAGCAGTCTGCTTTGATAAAATCTGATCATCTTTCTGGATATTTAGTAGAGTACTGATATGGTTCAAAGTCCCAGTCACTATTATCTTGGTGAAATTTCCTATGGTGTCAAATGATGAAAATCATATAAAAGCAAAGAGAATGAAATAAGACGTGAGTCCTGGTGTAATTCTAAGTTAATTCCCGTATGGGATTTCAAAACTCATTCAAAAGTAACAGAGGCCCACTTACTGCTTCATGAACAATTACCCCAACTAAAATTCATAATCTTTGGAGGGTCTAGATCATGTCTTTTATTTTGGGGCACCTTTCTAGAGTTCCGGGATCACAGTTAGGCTCTTTGCAGATCACTTAGCTCGGCTTTTAAAATTGATCATTATTCCTTATGTGTTATTGCCAAATATGTTTTGAGTTCCACTGATACCAACAACAAATGAAAAAGTCCTAGGGAAGTCAGAAGACAGTCCTGTGATTCATTTACTGTCTTGGAAATTTCTAAATGATGAGTTCCTTTTTTATTTTTTTGTCTTTTTGAGCCAGGGTCTAGCTATGCAGTTCAGGCTGGCCTTGAGCTCACTTTGTAGCCCAGGCTGGTCTTGAACGCTCAATGGTCTTCCTGCCTCAGCCTCGGTGCTGGGATTGCAGGCATGCGTCACCACTCCCAGCTGAACGATGAGTTTCTAACTCAATTTGTTTCATTGACTATAAATATAAAGTTTGAGATAGCAATAGGACTTTGACAATTAATCTAAGGGCATGCTTTTATTTTAGTGCAATATTACCTGAAAATATTAGCCAAGAGAAACTGGACTTTAGCATGACTTAAGTGCATGCACTTGTTCTTACTAGACTTCATTGTTATACCTCTTGGGTGAAAGGAAAGATAAAACAATAACTGTTATGAGTTTCACAAAATCAGTGGTTTCTTTTATCACAAACTTTTACATATATGAAAGCAAAATAGTTGTTTCTAGTTTTAATATGGTGTTTTGTTTTACTTCTGAATTTCAGTGCTTATTTTCATCAAATATTATATTTAATCAAATGGTCATCTTTATTATTTTAATGAATTCTCCATTAAGAACACCAGCTTAAGAACAGCTACTTTCAAGTATGGATAGTTTTGATGACAGCCAACGTGGAACTGATTGTTTTGGTCGGTGCACTACAGGTGAATTTGGTAATCTAATGATTACCGAAGTATACATATGCATCTAAAGATGAGATGGAGCGTTTCATATCAAGCTTATGTGTTCCTAACCATGGAGCCATCATCAAGGCAATCATCATCCTCCAGGCAAATGTGAGCCCAAGCATCACCGGAAGCCTTAGCCCTTGAAACAGGTTATTCCAGAGTGAATAGTACCAGTCCAAGAGTAAATGTCCAGAGTAGCCTGGGGTTGATTTCAATCTCTAAGAACCCTGAAAATTTTAAGTCTATTTTGAAGCCACTCTGCCTTGGGCTTCCTCCAAGAATTCAAAGGGTCTGGCCCAAAGGCTCTCAAATCGATCATAAGGCAAGTCCCTACAGTGGCTACCTACTTTAGGCAGACTTCAGAATAATGGTCATTAAAGACACTTCACTCTCTGAGTGAGAAAGTCAGGAGTCCCTGCAGGCTGACTTGTGGCAGCCTGAGAGAGGTCAAATAAATGCTAACACAGAGCAAGGAAAGTTGGAGCAGAGAGTAGACAGGCTTTGCTACATAATTCATTTCCTGCCCTCCTTACTTGCCCTAGAGATTCTAATGAAGAAACTGCCTAAACTGCTGTTTAACCAAGAAGAAGAACATCATGATAGAGGACACAGAAATGAGCTATAGTAAAAGTGCAGTAAAGCAGACCCAGCACAAAGACAGGGACTAAATCAGTTTCTCATTCCTGCCTATAAATGAGTGTAATACTAGAAAGTCACACCTTCCTTCTGCATTCATTCCTCAGGCAAAGGTGAGTTCCACCTAGGGGCCTTTTTCTAGCAGTAGAAACTGCTATGTTTCCTAAGCCTTTGAACTGAGAATCTGATTCTTCGCTAAATGACATGCATGTGGTATGACCGTCTGTTAAATTCAGTGTTTGGATCAGTACTGGGTACCTAGCGTGCACATAGAGTATACCTATATACTAGGATTTGGCAAAATTTTTCTACACAGGGCCAGAGATTATAAAGCTTTGTGGGTCATGCAGTCTCAGTGCCAACAATTCGCTTCTCCCTTTATGATGTGAAAGAATTCATAGACAAAACAGCAATGGATGCTCATGGCTGTGGTCTGATAAAACTTTACAAGGTGTGTATGAAAACACATTTGGACTTGGCCTGTTGGACATCCTTTACTGACCCCTGTGTTACATCTGGAGTAGACTCCTAATATATATAATCTCAGATATTCTTAACAATCCCATGTAGCTGGCCCCAATTATTTCAATTTTGAAGACAAAAAAAATGAAGTTCAGAGAGGTTGAGAAATGTGTCTGAAGTTTCATACCTAACAAGAGGCAAACCCAAGATTCGAATCTGCGCAATCTCTTCCCTGTTATAATCTAAGGGGGACTTTCTACTACCCTGTGGCAATAAGCAACCATGCCCTCTTTAAATGCTTATTCTTTTAAATATCAGTTTTGACAGAAATCTTTCTAAGGTTCTGAAGGAAGCGGCTATAGTTCTACACAGAACAGTGACATAATTGCATACAACAGAATGTCCCTCGAGCCGGGAGAGCTGCTTGCCAATGAAGTGATGGTTTCAGCTGATTTGTTTCTATCCCCAGCTGTCCTTCTGGCTCCCCTCGTAGCTTCTTTCTGGTGTTGCGTTTTAGTTTCCAGTGCTTATTATCTGTATTGTTACATTACAGGATGAGTTGAGATTGCCAAGTTAAACAAGATAGTATGACAAACTAATCTGAGATTAGTAGGTTTTGGCCTATGTATAGGGTTCATGTTTCTTTTCTGTATTAGGTTGAACTCTGTGAAATTGCCACATTTGTAGGTCAAAGTGGCAGTTTCATATGGTTCAACCTAATAATAGAGAGCACAGACCCTGAGATACGCTTTGTATTTGGTACCCATGGGATTTTTCTTCTGTTTTCTTCTCTTTACTTCACAGTTCATTGAAGTGCTGCAGATGATGAAGGCAGCAGAAAGTGAGCTGCCAGAAAGGTGAGCTATGATAGAATAATTTCTCAGATTCACTGCTTTCTATAATGCCAGGGTCAGCAGGTCAGAGTGAGTTAAACAGACCTTCTGTCAGTCACCTTTAGACTGAAACAGTACTCATCTCTGCTTTTCGAAATTCATCTTTTCAGGAACTTTTGCAAAATTAGCTCCATAACCCTCCTTGTTAGTGACACAAAGTAGTCAGATGGGCTTAATAGCCTCACAAGAATGTGATGGAACTACTCCGTGGAATGAAATAGACATGAGACAGAAACTTGGAAATGGCAAAAATATCTCTCAAGACTCCGGAGATATTAGAAACTTCACTAAAAGCAGAGATTCATCAAAAAATACTAAGAAACACATCCCATGCTCCTCTCAGTTCCAAATCGGTATTATTTTCTGAGGGTTTCATGTGAGCATGCATGCAAATCTGTATCTACACTTCCAGACTATCCCTTTTCACCTATGCTAAAAGCAAAATTAATCAATTTTACAAAATAAGAAAATTAAGAGACAAGGAAGATGTGTTGTCTCCAGGATCAAACAAGGAGGAGTAAACACTGGGGAACTGCACATGATCCTTGCAGATAAGGAATCAATATAGCTGAAGCTTTGGGTGAGTGTGGTAGCACATGCTTGCAATCCCAGCACTTGGGAGACTGAAGCAGGAGCACCCCCATGAGTTCAAGGCCAGCCTGGACTACATAGTGAGTTCAAGGCCAGCTTGAACTACGTAGGGAGGCCCTGTCTCAAATAAAATAAAATAAAATATTAATGAAATAGGCTGATAAACTTATAGCATATTTTATTCCCCAAGAGGAAAAAAATTTCCAGCTCTAGAAGATATTTAAGCATTTTTCGGGGAATCTGTAGAAAGTTCAACTTAATTAGATTAAAAAATTTTAATACTTACCTTGTTCTCCACTTGCACACTGTCACCTTCCCCAAGCACTGCTGTGTGATGAGGTTCTATTTTTTGTTGCTCATCATCAGGCCCTAGAAAAAGGGCGACCCACTACCTTAGTACTTATGATAGTGTATTTATTCTACCGTTACACTTTTGGTCAAATACTTAGCATCATAATGTTAGCTTCAGTTTCAGAGCTAACAGACTCAGAATGTCTTTAAATCTTAGTTAACTGTATCTGCTATTATTAAAGTCTAAAACTGGTTGGTGTTTAGTGCAGAGAGGAGTAGAGAAGTGCACCTGCATTGCATTTTCATTTATACTTTGAATGGCACGCCCTAATAGTTCAGTTGACAGGCAAAGAACTTGGCATTGCATATCATATGAATGTGTCCTTGGGTAACTTATAAATCTCATAAGAAGTAAACATGCTTAAAAAATTATCGAGTCCTGGGCTCGAGTCTGTGCTTGCCCACACCGCCACTGTTCCCAGCTGAAACGTGCGGAGAGAGCCAGGTATTTCCCAGCTACTCCCTGAGGGCAGCGC